ACAGACAAAAAAATAAAATCATGAAACAAGGTACAAGAATAATAGCCGTCAAGGACAAGTAAAGACTCTGTAAACAATACTAAAAAACCACAAATGTTGTATATTTTTATTTTATTTCACGTATACCCCTCTTTTCTCCCCAATGGGGACACAAATAGATTTTCCCCTTCTCCATTTTATTCCTACAACAACCCTGCAAGGTAGGTTAGACTGAGCATGTGTGTGACTGGCCTAAGGTCATCCAGCAAGTTTTCATGACAGAGTGGGGATTTGAACCTGGGCCAGATCCTAATTTGACTGTCTACTAACTACACCATGTCGCTCTGCCACAGACCTTTAGGATCAGGGTGAACAGATGTGTACAGGGGAAGTGGGATGTTTAAGTGACTCAGGAACAAGCCAAACTGAATGACCCCTGCATTGCTGAAAGCCAGCATTTCAGGGCCACTTGGCTCAGATCCTGACAGCCAGGGGTCATTTCCTACAGGAGCGAAGCTCCGGCAGTAAAGAGCCCAGGGGGCGGGCACATGCAACAAGCCCCACCCCCTGCTCCCAGCAGCCCTCAGTCAGAGCAAGAAGCAGCCAGGTAAGTTGCAGAGCTCCCCCGGCCCAAAACAGTCCAGTGGCACCTTTTGTCGCGCAGATGTGTCGCGCAGTCAGCGTCACCGGATCAGCTTTCCACCAAAGATCGAATTTGCACCCTGCTAAGATTCCACTGCAGTAAACCACACTCACACAGTCCTTGTGGTAAACTATGTACAGTGATTTATTTACAATATCTTTACAGCTCTCTCCGTCAAAGTGCTCCGCCATACGCTCGTACATGAAGAAGGAAAACAATGTACAGAATACAATTTCTTCTGCACACTGACCAGCCAATCAGCTTACTGCTGAGTCACTGTGAGGTTGCTCAGCTTAGCCTCCAGTCAGAACCGGTTTGTGCAGGTTCTCCTGGCTGTCAGACACCTGTCAAATAGATTGGCATGATCACACATACTGAAGCTTATGACATTCAACACCTTTAAGACCCAAGTTTTATTCAGGTAGAAGCTCTCCCTCCTCTGCGGGGACAAATCTGCACGTCCCCCCTCCCCCCCAATAGCTAGCAATCCAAAACAGTCCAGTGGAGCCTGAGCGGTGGATGTTGCCTTCTGACACACTTCCGGTGAGGTCAGGGGGTGTGGCATATGCTAATGAGTTATGCTAATGAGTTCCTGCACCTCTTTTTCTACGAAATGACCCCTGCTGACAGCAGCACCGATAGTGGACATCTGCTCACGCATGGCGAGTGGCGGCAGTGCAGACGGAGGCAACTGGTGAGCCGACCCCCATCAGTGCTGCTGCTGAAGGGTGTGAGCCAAGCAGCTCCTGCAGTGCTGGTGGAGCTGCTGGGGTCTGACTCCACTTACTCTTGGCTGCTAGCAGCCTTTAAGGGGCAATTAGACACATGCCCCCCAGAATTTCCTGGTAGGTTAAATAGCCTGTCCACCCTAAGGTGTATGGGTTAAGAAAGGATAGCACTCTCACCCGCAAGGCCTATTTTTAGGAGGCATGTTTATTAACATAAGAACATAAGAGATGCCAATGTTGGATCAGGCCAAAGGCCCATCCAGTCCAACACTCTGTATCACACAGTGGCCAGAAATACCAGGGGCCATCAGGAGGTCCAGCAGTGGGGCCAGGACACTAGGAGCCCTCCCACTGTTGACCAAGCACCAAGATGACAGAGCATCCCTTGCCCCAGAGTCCCTATCTATACCTTGTGGCTGATAGCCACTGATGGACCTCTGCTCCATATGCTTATCTAATTCCCTCTTGAAGCCGCCCAACAAACAATAAATAAGCTCTCTTTCTCACGGACAATCGGTTTTCCTTGTGTCTATTGCATTTTATAGACACACCACAGTCCCTGTTATCTGGGATTGTTTCTGAACCTTTCTCTTCCGCTTGCTTCTTACGTAAAGGAACGGTTCCTTATTTAGTGGGGAAACGAAGTGCTCCAGTGGCCCCGGTCACACGGGAGGGTTTGATCCGCAAGAGGGACGGATCGGGGGCGCATCAAGCGGGCGCGATCACACCGCAACATCTGGGAAGCGGCAGGCCCCGGTCCCGGTCCGTGTCTTTGGCCCACAAACGCGCATCAAAAAGGGACTAGCAGAACAGCAGTACCTACCGGACGATGCGGGCCAACGGAAGGCGACTGGTCGGGGAAGCGCCGGTAGGCTGTCGCAGCCGTCACCATTCCCCATCCCACACATGTGCACAACCGCGCTACTGCCGGTTTGCTGCGCACCGTGTGATCGGCTGCTGGAGCACGGAGCCGCAGGGGCACGTCGGATAACGCTCCCGTGGTTCTTTTTGCTCCGGCTCTGATTTGCCGCTCTTCAGCGGCGGATCATCCGGCTGGTGTGACCGGGACCTTTGTACCATAATTGGGGGGAAAGCCAGGGCTCTTTTTGTAGAAAAAACCCAGCAGGAACTCATTAGCATAATAGGCCACACCCAACAGCAGAAACTCATTAGCACAGGGGTCATTTAGTAGAAAAAGAGCTAGGGGAACTCATTAGCATAACTCATTAGCATATGCCACACCCCCTGACATCAGGGGCCCAGCAGTGGACCTGCAAGGCCAGTGGGAGTGCAAGGAAGCCCCGCCAAGGCCCTCCCTGGCCCCAGGCAGGCAGGGGTGGGGAGAGGCGGGGAGGAAGCAACTTACCCTCCCTCTTCTCCTGCCTCCTCCTGGCTGAATGAGGGCTGGAAGCGGGGCGGCCGGAAGCAGGGGGCGGGGCTTCATCATGTGCCCCGCCCCCTGCACCTCACCCGGGGGAACTGCGTTCTCCCGCATTCCCCCCTGAAATGACCTCTGCTTACTTGTAATTGGTAGCCCAGGAAAAACCGACCAATCACCAACAGCCAGTTCTAGGAGCGGGAACTATTGTGATTGGACCTTATCTCTGCAACCTCATAGGTTGATATTGTATAATAGGGTGTGGCTACATTAGCCGGGAGAGTTTAAAAGTAGAACAGCTTCAATGTAAAAGC